CCCACCAGTCGACTCGATTGGGCTTCCTGCTCGATGGATCTGGATCGTCCGAGCTTTCCCTCGTTGCTTTCGGCCCTCGTTTCGGAGGGCCGATGAGGGCCGCAGGGCAAGGCTTTCGGCATCGGCTCCGAACCTGGAGGAACGCCCCTTTCTCACCTCGCACGCTCACCTCGCCTCCCAGACCTTTTGAACATTTGAAGGTCAAGCTCCGTGGACTCATGTGGACTCCATCATGTAACAAACCCATCCGAAGACAGACTGTGTTGCTCCTTTTTCTACTACGGTTTTCCTTTTTTATTTACGATCTTTCCACCTTGCTTCAGGTGGATGTGCCTGTGACGCAAGCGGACTTCTTCGAAGCGATCCACAATGTCAACCGCTCTGTAGGCACCTCCGACGCCAGTCGGATCCACAGAGTCCGGGGTACCAGGACGTTGGGTCCATGAAAGTTGGGTCCATTTGTTTCTCTCTTTGATATGAGCTGGTCAGATGCCTGGTTTTTCTGCTTCAAGTATTTAAATGATGTTAAATATAACTTAAACACCGGGGTGTTAAAGAGCGACATGGTGGGCTGTTTATATCTAGGGAATTGGCACTCAGATGTGCGAACCATGAACCCGACTTCCAGACCGCCATTTTCAACCACACTCGATGAATTCGACGACCTCCCCACAACCGACCATGTGAACTCCAGTTTCTGAGACACCAACACACAGAATTGTGCATCAGCCATGTCGAATATTTCCACACCATCCTTCAGACTGGAATAGTCACATAATACTAATCTTAGTTACATACATCTTCCCCCATCCAAATGAGCCATCCATGTGACATGCACAACTATTCCAATCCCATGGATGCTTTGGGTATGCTTTTGTATGCTTCTGTTCGTTTCCTCCCGCCTTTCAACAGGCCGAACTGTTCGGGTCGTTTCAATCCACCGATTTGTCAAAGCCTCCCGCACCTTCGGGGTTTGCAAGAGTTTCCAGCGGCAGGTGTGCCCACCAGACGAAGGGAGCATATATATATATATATGCAAATGTGCGCTTATAAGTTTATACAATGTTCATGTGTTTGTTTCTTTGTTTGCCTGTTTGCTTAGTGCGTGCGCAGCTCGTTTATTGTTTTCGGTTTTTCTCAAGCTAACGCTGACTTGATGGTCTTCACGCCAGCGACGTTCGGGCTCAAGGTTTTGATTGTGGCGAGACGGATGAGGCGTGGAAAGGCTTGCTTCAAGGGGAGGGAGGTATTGGGAGAAGGCGAGGACGTGCTGCTGGATCTCTGTAAAAAGGTCACTGAACGGAACGTTGCAACCGTGTTGCTCCCTGAAGTCTTGCGCTCCAAACAGAAGCTTCCTCAAGTCTTGAAGCTGTTCCACAAGCTGAACAAAGGCAATCTTGCATTTGTCACCTTGGAAGCACTGAGGGAAGATGGGAACATGAAGTTGAAGGCTTCCAACTACACACTTGGAATCACAACATGTGCTAGGTCCAAGCATTCGAAGCGAGCCTTGGAGTTGTTTGAAGCGATGCCCAAGGCTAGAGTTCAGCCAAACGAACTTAGCTACAATGCAGCCATCAGTGCTTGCGGGAAGGGCGGGCAATGGCAAGAAGCATTGAAGTTGTTTGAGGCCATGCACACCGCCAACATTCAGCCCAGTGTGATTAGCTACAGTGCGATTATCAGTTCCTGTGAGAAGGGTGGTCAATGGCAGCAAGCACTGAAGTTGTTCCAAGCCATGACAAAGAGCGACCTTCAGCCTAATGTGATTACCTACAGTGCCGCCATCAGTGCGTGTGAAAAGGGCGGGACATGGCAGCAAGCATTGAAGTTGTTTGAAGCCATGCCCAGGGCCAAAGTTGATCCCAACGTTTTTAGCTACAGTGCGGTTATCAGTGCTTGCGCAAAGGGTGGCCAATGGCAGCGAGCATTGGGGTTGTTTGAGGCCATGCCACAAGTCAATATTCAGCCCGACGTTATTAGCTACAGTGCGGCTATTAGTGCTTGTGACAAGGGTGAGCAATGGCAGCAAGCATTGACATTGTTTGAAGCCATGCCCAAGGCCAAAATTTATCCCAACGTGTTTAGCTACAGTGGGGCCATCAGTGCCTTCGAAAAGGGTAGTCAATGGCAGCAAGCACTGCAATTGTTTTATGGCATGCTCGCGGCTAAGATCCAGCCCAGTGTCATTAGCTACAGTGCAGTCATCAGTGTTTGCGAAAGGGCTGATCAATGGCAGCGAGCATTGATGCTTTTTGAGGACATGCCCATGGTTAACATTCAGACTGATGTGATTAGCTACAGTCTAGCCATTAGAGCATGTGAGAAGGGGGGGTCGATGGCAAGAAGCATTGAAGCTGTTTGAGGCCATGCCTCAGGCCAGTATTCAGCGGAATGTAATTAGCTACAGTTTGGCCATCAGTGCCTGTGGGAAGGGCAAACAATGGCAGCACGCATTGAAGTTGTTTCAGGACATGCCTCAGAATAACATTCAGCCTGATGTGGTTAGCTACAACGCCCTATTGGCAATGTACACTCCTGGCATTGGCAGCTACCTGTTTCGGGAATCAACAATTGGTCACTCGCCCAAGTCCGAAGCTTCCAAGATTGACCTGCACGACTTCCCCGAGCGAAGTGCTCACGTGGCTTTGTGCCATTGGTTGTCAACTGCAGTCGCCCAGAAGCTTCAGCAGTCGCCCAACAGCTTCACCTGCCTCGTCGTCACAGGACATGGACCGTCTGGCACGGAGCTTCGCGATGCGGCCTTGGAGCTGTTTCGAACCCTGCGGCTGGACGCGTCACCTGTGCCAGAGACTCCGGGGCGGATTCGCTTAGTTTTGACGAAGGGGGACCTGCCAACGTTGCGTGTGTTGGCTTTGCATTGGGGTAAACGGAGCCAAAAAACCTCGTTCGCAGAAGACCCTCCGACCTCCTGCGACCTCCTGCGCGGCATTTGACAGTGGGTTTGAGTGAGTCTTAAAGTAAGATCTCCAATGACTGGGTTTGGATTCTGGATGTTTTATAAGTGTTTCATCCTTGTGGGCGCTGCCTCAGCATATGAGTTATATTATGTGGGAGTCATATGAGTTCAGTTATATGATGTAATGCCTAGTTCACTGAAAAATTCTTATGACTGCTTGAGTGTAACATATGAGTCATTATGTGTCTCATGCCACATGAGTGAAGTCAACTTCTGAGGCCCCTCCTCTTCAGAGTGTGTATGGGACCGTAGTCTCATTTCATTTCAAGCCACGCCCAAGTCAACAAGTGAAAGACTCCTTTAATTTGTTCAGAAGTGCTCCAAAGCTGGTTCATAAGACTTCACACCTTTTCTTCCAGTGCCCAGAAAGGACCTTCGATGACCCTTGTGGCAACACACACCTGTCTTTGGGAGCGAAGCAAATCGAACTTTCCAACGAAGAAAGAGTTGCACCAACCTGTAGGATGCGATCACGGTGATCACTTTGTTCTTCTTAATGCCATCAGGGCTTCCATGCCCATGTCTTTCATGGACACAAACCTGAGCTTGCTCTCCAACCATCTTCCGAATCTGAGCAGCACAGCCGACAGCTTCGCAACATCTTTCGGATTGGAACACACCCTCCGTTGTACCGATGCGCTTCGTTTTTGCCGCACCGAAGAAATAGTGGGGACCACCGTTAAGACTCGGCACCGAAGAGACCCCGAACCGCCGGCGACGCGGGAGGCAACGAAGATCTTCAGCGCTTTGCCGATTGGATGAAGGAGTTCGGCAGCATCTGACCGCGGAATGGGGCCCGGAACAGTGGCATCTGAGCGGATTGAAGTGGCTGAAACTGTGATTGTGAAGGAAGTACTGCAGTCAACTGCAGTCAACATGTGAAGTGAGAACAATGTGCTTTTTGGTTTCGCCTCCTATGTTTCGCCTACTCTAAGGACAAGTTCTATCAAGCCTATCAGACTATCGTTCAAGAGTGGAAGAGGCCCTCCACATCCGCGAAGGAGGGTTAGAGGTCAGGTGTGCTTGCTTGGCGAACATTGAACATGTCCAGACAGTACCATTTGACAGACAATCAGACTTTGGAAACGGAGCAAATAAGACTGTCTGGCAGACGAGAAGACAGTACCATCTGTGAACATTTTCAAAGTCATTGACTTTGGACGGATCCACCGACAATTAGACTCTGTGCCGCCTTGCCGCCCCTGTCAGCCTGTCGCGACAAGCCGCACGTAGCGAATTCAGCGAATTCGAATTCGGGGTGTACAGACGCCCAGATCGGAGCTCGATCATTGAAAGAGATGGAACAGAAACAGCTTTGGCACGGGCCAGTTCATCACCCCAAACTCTAAGTGTTCAAAGGAAGCATACGTACTTGAGTCTAGAGATGATATGAGGGGTGCCCATTTCAATTCCTCTTGTCATTGGTCCTCATGGTCTAACACTTGCCCATGGATCTCTTGGGCGTTCTGGGGTGAATGGTGGTATGTGGATGCCTGTTGTTTTCTTGTAAGCACCGTTGGCGCAAGAAACATAGAACATGAGAATTCAGGACCCCTGGCCACTGGCATAGTAAGTCCTAAAGAGCACACAGACCCAGTAAGTTGGTTGATGCTTGCACAAAATGGATATAGTATAGTATAGTGTAGCATTGTTCTGGTCTTCTTAGCCACATGTACCATCCACCCTTGATGCCGCTTGCGCCCCCCCACTTGAGACTGGCTTGCCCACAAGTGTACTTCTTTCTGAACAGAAACAGCAAAATAGACACACTCAAGTCCAAGTTTTGAACACCCTTTCCCATGGTTGAGCTGATTATAGATTCAACCAGACAATCAACTTGCAACCCATCCACTAGATCCTCGTCGTTCACCGGAAGACTAGGTTATGACTGGACATCTCTATACATAAAATCTTTGAGATTCTCATGTTGACTCTTTTTTTCCATGGGGATCCACCTGCACACGGTGACCCGGTGCTTCGTAATGGGCCCTTTTTCAGAGTCTTCTTTCGCCTCCATCGCAGCAGCTGTATTGGCTCTCCTCGAGTTCAGCCACGGGTTTGGTCAAGGGGTGAAGGCGTGGAGCTCGGGCTCGTGGAGGGTGGCAAGTTGGAACTCCTTCCGTTCCCGACGGCTGAGATGAGATGATCTTAGAACATTGTCCAAGTATGGAGGGGCGTTTTTAGCTTGTTTCTATCCAAGCTCTGAAAGAGAAGCCTTGAAATCATTGCTTTTGTGGAAGGGAGATTGGGCGAGATTTGGCAAGAGTGACATCCCTGCAGTCTCAATGCACTTCCAAGATCTGCCAACGTGAAGAGAACTCTTCAAACTCAAAGCAGGAATCATGCGTGTCATCTAGGAGGTTTAGGGGTGGCTTTAAGCAGGGTAGGTCCCCCCCAAGTCCAGATTGCAAAGGAGTGGCTTCACATGCCTGTAGTTGTAGCTGCTGGAAGACATGGTTTTTGCAAGTTGCGAGTCCTTTAGTCCCATGCAACCCACACATACTAAGCAGCAGCCCCTATGGTGTGGGGGGGGGAAAACCCTCGTGAGGCGGTCGTTCTGGCTAAGCTTCGGCTCGTCCAGGCGAAGCTTTCTTTGTACCAAAAAGATGGCTGGTCGATTGTGCCTGGGCAGAGCAACGACGACTTGGGAAGATGAGGACATGGGTGGAAGAAAAATAGTCCAAATCCCATTGGTTTTGGGGTCTCCCTATTAAGATACATACTGCACATACCCAAATGGCTGGCTGCATCCTAAATACCCCAAAGATCACTGAATTCAGATATGTCTCCCTTTACCGAGGACTGGAGGCCATTTTGAAGGCTGTACTGTCACCAGCTAGGGTCTGCGCTTTCTTTTAACGGTCAGGTCATTGACATTGCTGTTTCAGATGTGCAGAAACACAACGGATTTGTTGACTTGTGGCCTTGCGAGCCAGCCAGGTATTCGACTATCACTTAGCAGTGAGTTGCAAAACCCGTTGTATGGTGTGACCAAGTGTTACGCCCGCCGTAAACCTGCCAAGGGATTCAGATGGATAGATAGATCGCTGAAGGGTGTGTAGCATCCAATGCATTCAGAAAGACGTGTATTTGTTGTGTGTTTACCGATTTGCATACATGTTGCAGATATGGAAACTCTAGATGATGAGAAAAAGCCGAGGTTGATCCTGGCGGCAGCTGCTGTGGTCTCTATCTCAGCCAAAGATTCAAGATGTTGGTTGGCATCCAAAATGGAACTTGTCGCCCTTTGCCTGTGATTGCGACCTCATCTTGTTTTGAATTCACTGGGAAGCTCACATCGGTCTTCCCCCTATGGGTCCAAGAAGACACCGCTTCGCGACCTACAGTGCGGGCAGCTACCCAACCAGCCAAGCAAGCAGATGGATGTGTCTCAGTAAGTAAGACCTCGAAAGTAAGACCTGAGAAAGTCATTCAGATAGTATATAAGACCATGATTTGTTTAATAATCACTCAGAAAGTAAGACCCATAAACCCGCACGTTCGAGTGAGTTTGTCCAGTTTGACCAGTGGGGTTTGGATGGTACCTATGGTTTGGGCTATAAACATATCAATGGCAATGGAAGCAACCAGAAGCAAGAAAGCATGGAATCAATCTGTCCATCAACCCATCAGTCCATCCAGGTATTGTCTGGGGAGGAAAACACATCTTGAATCAGATATTGCCCTCTTTTGTGAATGTTTTGACAATCCAGGTATTGTCCATATCCAGACACTATCAGACACTCCATGTATGGTATATTTGACAATTGTCCATATCCAGACACTCATGTGTGGTACATATGCCTACATTGACACCTAAAAACACCCCTAGGTTGTCAGATACACCATATATTTATGAAGAACTTTCACCAAGCTTGGTGAACAAGAAGAATCCCTCCTGAGGTGGTGATGCCAATGGCTTTTGTTGGACCCCAGGCGGGCGAGATGGGAGCTTTGCCTTGGTGGACGGTTTGTTGCTTTTGGAGCCAGCACGTTCTCAGCACGTTTCTTAGCTCATGTTCCTTGGATTCCCTCCTCAGGTCACACTAGACAGCCTTTTGTATGCGGAAAAATCAGTGTAGTCCTGTGATCTTAGCTTTGAGAGAACCATGTGCTATTGGTCTGTATGTCCATAGAGGCTGTTTGCCCGACTGTCCGATGTTTGGTCAAGGCTTCGTTCGCCCGACCCTCGCCACAGATCGAAGTTGCCAAGTAACAGTGAAGAGGATACTCTGACTGTGATAGATGACAAAAGACATTCAAGGTGATCAGAGAACTAACACACTTGATGAGTACCTAGTGTGGGTCTTGGGGAACATGGTGATCCTCATCACTTCTTAGAGAGGCTGCTGCACCAATGTCCTATGTCCGGTTCTGTTGAGATGGGACCTCTTGTTGAGTCGCCTTCACAGGTTTCTCTGCGTCTCCGGCTGCTGAACGCAGCCAGTGTCTCCAGACGCTGAAGAGCCAAACTACCAACATGACCGGAAGTTAACAGAAAAAAGGGATCATCGCCAACGAAGACCAACCGGCCAACTAGTAATAAGACCAACACATTCTTAGCCCAAACAGCAGAATCATAGTAGATACTTATAGTATAGAGGATCAACACAGATTTGGCAACCAGACTTACAGGCATGCAGATGTCACGAACTCTAGTCCCTAGCAAGGTCACCACTCTGATAGTACATCAAAGTCAAAAAGAGATTTGGACACCTTCGAATCGAGATATCGATTCCCATGAGACTTACCAGATGACCGACAGTGCCTTGCACTGGAAGCTGGGATCTGTGATCCTTTGGCGGCTCGGCTATCAGCTATCGCGTCGAGGTGACGGAACTTCTGGTGGTACCTGCTGGGAAGGATTGTAACTGCTTGATTGGTGGGTGTCCTAATCACGTCGTGTATCTCTAAGATTGCTAGAAAAATATGGACTGGTATTTAAAGAGAGTTCGGAAAGAAGCATCTCCCGTTCCGTCCTAAAAACCCACACAGTGTCTTGTACGATGTCGCGACTTTTTGGGTGGTTGGCATGGGGGACCATGCTTTCGGAACAGATTTGGAATTATTCAAACAGATGCGCATGTGCAATTCCCTTTTTGTTAATTTCCCAACAACTGCCCATACATGAAATGTGTAGTATCAAAAACTTCTCAAACCAGTATATGTATCGGCTTGCCAAATCATTTGAATCAGTGTTCGTTGAGCATCCACACGTGAGTTCTTCCAGCCCCTTCGCACTTCTTACTTCGCCCCAGTCTTCGCCCCTGGGATCGATCACCTGGACCGAGGTCGCTCGTTTGGCCGACGCTCCATGCGGCCAGCTTGCCGTTGGCTGGTCTGTGCGGCTTTCAAGTGAATGGCCGACAGCGACAGCGGCCGCTCGGAGGAGACTGCGGGCACTACACGTGCAAACGAGTCGTGGAGATGGCGAGATGGTGGGGACTGAGGAGATGGAGAGATAGAGACTGAGTCCATCTGAAGTAGGTCCTTTCAAGTCCTGACAAGCACAAGTTCTGAGTATCGGCCTCACAGTATAGCCTTTCACCACTCGTGGTCGGGTATGGGGTGAACTTGGGAGGAACTTGGTAGAACTATATAGTTAGTTTGTATAATTGACTGCGGCTAGCTGCTAGTGTTGATAGCATTATCCAACTGTTGTTCCAACAAGAGTTTGCATGTCACATTATTTCGGAGGTTCTAAGATCCATGGTTTGGTGTCGGAGTGCTCCCCAGTGGATTACTATATGTCTCTCATGGAAATGCAGCCATTTTGCGGTTGGCAGCAGGGTGGCCAGTTGGTGGCACCGTTCCGACCGCACCTCGCTGGGCACATGCGACAAGTGAGACGTCCCCTTTTGTGCATTTTCTGGTTGGCCGTGCCTGTGGCGTATGTGCCGGCGTGGTGGCGCAGGGGATGGCCCAGGGGCAGAGTGGGTAGTTTGGCGGAAGCCGAGCTGTTATCAGAGCTGGCAGTTCTGCTGATGCCTCGAGCAGACGTAGGGGAGCTTTTTCGGAGCTTTCCTGCGACGAAAGGGTGGCGTGGGCATTCTTTAGAGCCTGATTTGGCAGCATACGGGATACTCAAAGACAGGAATGCCGCACTGTTTGTGGAATATGATGGCTTTTGGAGGCATGGGGAAAAGGAAGGCATTGTGAAGGACCAGAAGAAGAATGAAGCATTGCTAGCTTATGCGCCGGAGGGTTCATTTGTTGTCCGCATAACCCACACTCTTCGCAAACCACTGGTGGTCGGACATACTATTTGGATCACTGCGCAAACCTGGCGTCAAGGGGATGAGCTCTCTCTTGGAAAGGCTTTACGGAGCACCCTAAAACTGTTGGCCACTGGACTCCGACAGGTCTTGCGGCCGAGTGTGTTGAAGCTGATTCATCGAACACTGACAAAGGATCCATGGAGCTTTTCTGTGAAGGGCCAGAAGTTTGTCGGCAAAGCTGCGGCTTTAGCAGGAAAGAACTCAAGTGCAGAGGTTTCAAACTATTTTGCTGCACAAGGCTTCTGTCAGCAAGATATTGAGTTGATGAATCATGTGATCCAGTTGCACAGCCAATCCATCGAAGGAAATTTGGGACCCAAAATTCAGTGGCTTCTTGAATTGGGGCTTAGCAGTCAGCAACTTGCAAAGGCAGTCGCAGCTCGTCCGCAAATTCTTGGGTACAGCATCGAGCAAAATTTGAAGCCCACTG